GCCTCGCCCCGCAGGACGCGGAACCTGCTGCGCGTCGGCGTGGTGCCCAAGCCGCTCTGGTTCGACGTGTACGCCGCCTTCCCGCCGCTGCGCGAGCCCGTGTTCCGCACGCCGCGCCCGCGCTACGGCCGCGTCACCGACGTGGTGCCGCCCGTGCTGTACCCCGAGGACCGCGTCCGCGCGTGAGTGCCGCCGCCCCCGGAGCAGCGAGGCCGCAGCGGGCCCGTTCGCTTTGTTTCGTCTTGTCATGTTTTGTTTTTTATAGGGAGTTCTACAACGTTTATGGGAACGGCCCAAGACCCTTCGACCTGTCGCAGCCAAACTTCAAGTCCACTTGCCAGAGGTAGGACTGAGTTATGGTTAACCCGGGAATCCACTCGGTGCTTACTGCCTTGCTCCACAGAAGCTGGTGAACCACAAGGTTATTTGTGAAAGTGGAAGTTAATTCGTCAAATGTAGGTTTGTTGAGAAGTACAACGAGCTGAAGGAGGAAGGGGAAATCGAGGAGGACAGACTGTTTGAAGAGACAGGAAAAGCTCTGCTAGCCAAAGGGATAATTTTGCAGAGAAGACGGGCAGAAAAAGTAAGTGTTAAATACTGAAAAAGTAATTGTCTTGCGGATTCATAAAGTTTCATTTCCAGGTCCTTAGTATGAAATGATTTCAAAATAAATTCCCATCATGATAGCTGTGTGTGTGATAGTCATAGTAAAAGTGTCTTTACTGTTCAGTGTAAACTCTTTCCATATCTCTCTTGGGTGTACAAATGGGCTGTTGCTTGTATTGCTTTCTTCAGTCCAGCGTGTCCGAAGTTCTCTGCAGCGCTGTTTTTTGGTGCCTTCAGGTAGCACAGCCTGCTCAGCAGGATTCTGAAGGCAGGGACGCCGCGTTGCACGCGCAGCTGCAGACCGCGTTGGAGGAGATGCAGGAGAGGAAGCAAGGCCAGGGGGAGCGGCCGGCAGAGCCGCCCGGCACGCACGAGGAAGATCCGTCGCCCTCCTAGGAGCCGTCCGCGAGCGGCTCTGCCGTGTGCGCGGGCCAGTGGCCTCTGCCCAAGGGCCGTGAGTCCCTTGTCCTGCGCTGGTGCCTTCCGTGGCCTTGTGTGTGACACGCGTTCTCCATCCTCCATCCCTCCGCTTCAAAAGGGGGAGATTCTTTTTTCTTGGAATGGGGCTGGGTGCCATTTCAAAGCACGAGGTGGGAAGCATGGCACTGAAAAATTAAACATCTCTTTTCAGGTGAACTTCTGTCTCTTCAGGTGTGTTCTTTGTAAAGGTGTCTTGGTGTTTGCACTGACTGGGCCTTGTGCCAGCTGTCCTGCTGTTGAAATGGCACATGCTGTCTGCCTGGCACATGGAACAGCTGCCTAAAGTGGCTCTGAAAATGTCATCTTCTTAAAGATAATTGAGAAAAGTTGCTATTTATGTTTATTTTGCTCTTTTCTTAATATAATTTGCTTATATTTATCATATTATAAAGTATAACAATAGCAGAAACTTGATGTTTGCTGCCTTTCCTGTCAGCAAAGTGACAGGTAAGTTACAAGTGGCTACTGAAGAGCTGAGTGCCGTTAGGGTGTCTGGGACTTGGGCCCAGCTTCAGCAAGTAGCCACCAATCTTGCTGTACTTCGGAGGTGATTAGAATTCCTTTCTGTCCACGTCTGGGAACTTCAGTTACTAGCTTTTTTTTCTTTTTAAAGGATTTTATTTTGAGGAGAAATTAAAAGCAATTACTCTTCAGAAAGGTTTAAACCATGCCAAGCAAATCGCATCCCTCTTCCTTTGTCTGGCTCTCCCCTGACCAGGAAAGGACAAGATTTCCTTTTGGCTTGGCTCCTGCCAGGCAGCTGCATTCTCCACAGCCCGGGTTGTGCTGCTGTGCGTGGTGCACAAACACCGCCTTACGTGAACTACGTGGCAGTTCAAAGGAAGCCTTTATAAATGCGCAGGGTTTGTTTTGTGTGGTTTGATCCACCCACCGATAATGGGCACATTTACAGTAGAATGACTCCATTTTCCTGGAAGGTCGAGCTCTGTTCCTGAAAGTGCCCTGTTTACCTCAGCACTGCAGTAGCTGTAGCCACAAGAGGGTCTCAAGCTTCCCAAGCTCCCGGCGCTGCTGCTGCTCTCGTCCGTGCAAGGCTCTTCCAGGCGGTGCGCGAGCCCTGCGCGATTCCCTCATCCGTGCGCGTGCGGAGGGGCCCATCCCGAGGCGAACACAGCCAGGCGAGACAGGCTTGGAGCTGCTCTGCTGGGTCACTGCTGGGAGAAATCAGTGTGTGGAGCAGATGAATAAATACAAAATCCATGAGGAAAATCAATTAAAATGGATTTCGATCTGGGAGAGACGTATGTACTAACGGGAATTAAACCACGCTCTGTGCGCGCTGGGCCGTGGCAGCCTTGGAAGGGGGTTTCCCTGGCACCGCAGCGTTCCTCCCGTTGCACGAGGGCAGCCGGGCGCCGGCTGGAGCGCGCTGCTGCCCGCGGTGCACATTTCTCTCCCCGTGCCAGGGTTTTGTTGGAGCCAAATGGTTCTCCCCAGCCGAGCAGAACTGCTCACGGTTCCGTGTCCCCACGTGGCACCCGTGTCCCTGTGTCGTGTTACAGGGGTATCGCGTTTCCAGCACCCATTCCGAGCCGCGCTGTTCCTTCGAGGGGAGGTGCGTTGCAGGGAAAGGCAGAGCCGTGGTGCTGCACGCGAGACGCTCTCGCTGCGCCTGCTCACCGGGCCGCGGCGCCGCGCTGGCGGTCCGAGGGGGACGGTTTGACGTTCCCTCGCTCCGCGTGGCTGCGTAACGCTGGGGCTGCAGCACTTTTAAACCCTTCGTTTTCACGTCTGTTGCACGTTGGGGTTGTGCTGCGTTGCTGCACGCAGATGGACTAGGAGGGTGTGGGAGGTGCAAAGAAACTTCCATTTATGCTGCAGCAGCGTAACTTTGCTGTCAGATTTGGGAGTGCGCTTGTATTTCACACTCTGCCCTGCTTCTGTTTCAGCAGCTGTGGACTTACAGCTGTATAATTCATTGATGTGCCTGCATGCTGCCACTCTGAAGCAGGTAAATGATCCAATTAGCTGAAAATACTAGATTAGAAAAGCGAGCTTGTGCTTTCAGCCAGCCGGGGCGATAAGGCAGCCTGGTTGGACCCAAACGGTGCAAAATGGAGGTGGTGTCTCAACAGCCCCCAGGGCAGAGGCTCTGCTGTCCCGAGCAGGTTGGGGCCTCAGTGCTCAAGCAGCTTCCAGCAGAGCAGGGCTGCAGAGAAGTGAGGGATGTCTCTGTGCCGGGATGGGGAGCTGGGTGCCAAGCCGTTTGTAAAGGCTGTAAAGTGTTAGGGACAAGTAGGGGGAAAACACAATTCAGGTCAAAATGCTGTTTTTGAATACTCCTTTTTTGATGGATGTATTTGCTAGGCTGGGATTGAAATGTCAATCAGTGTTACCTTGGAGTAAGTCAACTATTTTAATTAAAAGGTTCTGAGGAAAAGCCTGGGGTGTGCTATTTATTATTTATCAAGCGTTTTCCTTCCAGCTGTTAGCAAAAGGTCAGTAGCTTTGCAGGGGAGGGTTTGTGGGGAGCTCGGAGGAAAAAGATCCACGATCAATCACTTCCACCTCGGTTCTGTGTGTGCGCAGGTCGCTGCCAATAATTATTTAGGCTTTCAGTATTCTTCCATTAGCCATGCAGGGAGCACGTGTCCCTCGTTGTGGTACATTCGCACAAAAACAAACACAGCCGTGTGATTACGGTTAATAATGAGATATTGATCGCTCACAAACGCCGGCGCGGGCGCGTGCCGGTCCCGGCCCTGGACCCGCTAGATGGAGTCGTCGCGTTTCGCCTGCGCGTTCCCTGCGCCGCGCTCGGCCGCACGTTCCGCTCCCAACCGTCGTTAAGGTCGCCGAGTCCTCGGTGAAGTTCTTGACAATATGAGAGCCTGACAGTGAAGTCTCGGCGAGTCTTTTCTCTCCCTCTTATCATCGCGCAGCACACACTCGAGCAGCGAGCGCCGCGCGCCGTGCGCACGCCTGCGCTGGAGTGCGCCGCGACGAGGACGCGGCTCCTGTAAGTGGTCTCTTTGTGTGCGTTTTCTGCCCTGCACTGTGTGGCTGGAGGGACTAACCGGTGCCAGGCAGCATGAAAAATGTGCACAAGAGGAACACTGACCTTCCCTGCACCCTGCAGTCTGATACCAGCATGGAAAGAAGCCCAAGCTTTCACCAGGAATACTTGAAAAGGAATGTAGGTTTCCTCTAGGAACACATGGGATATATGGCTGGGCACGATGCACAGGAGGTGGGAAAGGGAACAGCAGAGCGGCTGGGAAGCTGCTCTTCATTCCCTTGTCTCCTTCGGGAGAGACCCGGCACCTCCCAGGCCCGGTGCCGAGACGGCGAGCGCTTCTGCGCCATGCAGGCGAGGGCAGCAGATGTGACCTTGTCGCTTGCCCTTTGCCTTCGCAGGGCACCGCGTGCACTCAAGTAATTTCCTTGTGCCTGGGCAAACCTGTCTTCTGGTATGGTAACACTTGTTAACGAGCGGAGCAGAGCGGCCGCTGCCTCGCAATCCGACACCCCATTACGGAGCAGCCGCGCGACCTTTCCGGGGCTAAATTGCTGACCTCTTTCCTCCTGAAAGATGAGTGGAGTGTGTGTGTGGAAGTTCCTCTCTCTGATTGCCTGGCTATTTTTAAGTGACAATAAATGCCCAAGTATCAGTTACGAGGTTCCTTGCTCCCTGAGGCATCAAAGCAGAAGACAATTGGGGGCAATAAGGAACCTCCTCTGCACCTCGGGAGGTCGGGCTGAAGGTCAGTTCCTAAAATTGCAGGCCCCACCTGAAAACCTTAGGGTAAAGAATTTGCCCGAATCCTGCAGCAGATCCCATAGCAGAACCTTGAAGTCTTGTTTTGCAGCCTGCTGCTTTTATTGCTTCATGCTGACGTCTGTGCTTCGGCCCCGATGCCCAGGTTTGCCGTAAGAGCATTAGCAGTGAAATCAGCTCTTCAGCTGTGCCGCTGTCGCGGTATTTATAGTGTCGGGAGCCGAAATTCCAGCCTTTTGCCTGCGTGTGTTCGTAAACTCGGGAGGTTCTGCTGTTTGGGAGCGCTCCTGACCTCTGCCCGTGGCATCTCCTCGAGCCACGTGTTGCAAGCTCCTCTTTGGCTGGTGCTTTGCAGATCCATCCCACTGTGATGGGCAGCTACACGGGCACATTGGTGCCACAGGCAGGAGGGAAGGAACATCCTGGAGAGGTTCCAGCTCACCTGAGGCCGGTGCTTTCCTGTGGAGCATCCCGGCGGAGGCCGGATCCACGCGGCACGCAGCGGGGCTCGGCACGCGTCGCCGCGCGGTGCTGCGGCTCTCACCACGCTCTGGAGGATTAACTGCTATTACATGGGGAGGGCAGGAGAATAAGGATTACGGGATCAGGCCTTACTCTGGGAACAGCCAAAATAATTCACCAGCTTTGCTGGAAAACCGGGTGATTTGACCTTGCCAATACCAAGCTTTGCGGTTATCAGTAATAAAGCATTTTATCTTTTAAAAATGTAGCTCTAAATAAGATATTAAAATGTTGGAATTGCTGCACTGGGGTGTTTTGTGGTTTGCCTCTGAGCTTGCAGTTGTGATACTGGAACTGAGCTGGATGTCTTGCACGGGAGGATGGCTTGCTAGCGCTGGGGCCCTGTTTTCAAATAGTCTGAATGCACAAGGGAGTCCTCTGTGTTGTCTCCTCTTCTCCCATCCTTGTTTGCACACAAAAGCAGTTAGTCCCCACATCCTCTGGGACATCATTTTCAAGGGAGCCTTTCGTCCTTCCCTCCATTTTGAGCTTAGGAACATTTGGCAAAGCTGTATCCGTTAGCATCTTTCCTTGAATTTATTGTGTTTTTATACTTGCTTTATTACACAATAGCTGATAAAAGATAACGCTGAGGTCTATCAAGGAGTGCGATGGCCTTTGTAACCCGGGCGCGAGACGGCCTCGTTGCTCGGCA